AATTAAAATCCCTATTTATAGAACAAAATCATGTGATCATACACCCAAATCAGAAGTTAGTGACTGTTGTGTCCAAGAGGCCTCAGTGGTTCCTCAACCATCACAAACTCTTCTCGAGAGATAAATGCTTGTATCGGGTCAACTGAACGTAGGAATGGAGAACATCATGGAGAATGGGTGGGCACCAAATAATTTTGAGCCCTAAATCCTTTTCTCTAAAACCGTGAACCAGGCCACGTTACAACCCTTAAAAGTCCTAACTGAAGCATGGGTCAATTTGAAAGCACGCTACAATGAGATAGCATTTAACTGACTCCTAAGAGGTATGTTTAAATATATGTGTTGGCATCATGTGCTTGCATTACCTTTCATAAAAAAGAATTTGCAAATGTTTCTCTCTAGCTAGTGACTCATTCGTAATAGAGTTGTGACATCATTTCATTCAAAGTTTTTTAAAACTTCAAGACTTACATATGTGTTGCATTAGAATTATCATTCTCATAATAAACATTCTTCTGCATATAAAACAACTGATTAACATCAAGTAAGTTTACACAATGAACAATCAGTAAAGAGCTCAATCTTGTCAGAGAAGAGAGGCTTGGACACTCTGTTAAAGCAAGAGTCAGTTGTCACAAGAAAAATGACTTATCCAGGGGCATGTTAACCAGTGATTCTATCAAGAGAAAGCATCTTGGTGCTTCACAATCTAAGTACCTCTAGGGGTGAAATTAGTAGATAACACCAATCTGGGGCAATCAAGTCGAGAGTCGATCTCTCCGAGGTCAGCCAAATCTGGGGAATTCCCTCAAAGATATCAATCAGAGGCTATCAAGTCGATAAATCTCTTCAAGTTGCCATCAACTTGGGGAAATTACACCGAGAAATTTATTTGGAATTCATTCAACCTAGGGTAGTTACGTCGAGATTCAACAAATCTCTCCAAGGAAGCTGTAATCAAGAGCAGTTTATTCTGTGATTAAAGACATTGGGGTATGCCACCTCCTATTATATTTTGGCACGAATATTCTGATCTTCTATTCAGCATAAATTCTCCAGAAATCCCACAGACAGGGGCATTCTGTATCCGTACCCGCAAAGTTGTTCAAGCCAATTATGTTGTACGAGATGAATACAACCAAGCTAGAAGCATCATAATAGTCACTCTGACCCAGCCAGTGCACAAAGCCTCCTTCATCTACTACAGATAATTTCAAACTGGATTCCCCAAGTGAATTCAGAAAGTCTAGAGTCTTCGTCTGACTTGGCACGCGCAAGTGCATCCCCAGTGGAGTTAATCAAGTGAATCCCCAGTGGAGCTAAACTGGGGCATTCGTAGAGCTAAATCGGGGCATTTGCAGTTCCATTTGCATCTTTTATCCCCAAGTTATTTAAGAGGAAATTCCCCAGTGTGGCATAAACTTAGGGCATGTATTCGAAGAGATCCACATGGTGTTTGGTATACGTTCTTCAGTGTAATCAGTTCTACCGTCCTCTCAACGATTCATGATGTAGGGAAGTCAGGCTGGATTATCTCTTCCCCAATAGTGCGTTTTAGAATGCAGTGGTGTACCTAAAAACTCACTTTGTCGTCAATTTAATCTCCAACGGATTCATCAATAATCTTCGGCATCATGAGCTCCCCAATGCAAATTATTATCAGTATCCCCGACAATCTTTGGTAGTGCAGGTTTCCAGCGCCGATATGTATTGGCATCCCCATTGATGAGCAACATCTCTCAAAGAGCCTTCGCTTATCCCCATGAAGTCTATCTTTTTTCATTTGCATATAGTTATCACTGCATAACATTTCATCCTCAATAGCGCGTAGCCAATCCATCAGAATGGATCTTTGCGGCAAAATAAATTCAAACATGCATAAGCCAGATCAGGTACCTTACACAAAAGACCTGAATCATTCAAGGACAACAATACATCCATACAAGAGGACGTTGCTCCCAAATCCCCGGTTGATGACCTTCACCTTCCCAATTCCCAGCTAACGGTGTCAGTACCTTGTGCCCTGAATTCCCAGTAAAATCAATATAACTTGTCATACAAACCCAGTTCTCGTCTGGTAGTCATTTCCCATCAAACAAATAATTCAGTCTTTCAACACTCGTCTGTGTCAGCTACCAACACTTGTCTGTGTCAGGTCTTCAAACACATGTTCGTGTTTAACCTTTCCTTGACACTCATTTGTATCCCCTTTCAATACCGTCCGGATTTATCCAAACACACGTCTGTGTTTAACCTTTCCTTGATACTCGTCCGTATCTTGTTTCAATACCCGTCCGTATTGATCCAAACACTCGTCTGTGTTTAACCTTTCCTCGGTACTCATCCGTATCATCTTTCAATACCCATCCGTATTGATTCAAACACTCGTCTGTGTTTAAATTTCCTTGATACCCGTCTGTATCTTCTTTCAATACTCGTCTGTATTGATTTAAACACTCGTCCGTGTTTAACCTTCCTTGATACTTGTCTGTATCTTCTTTCAATATCCGTCCATATTGATTCAAACACTCGTTCATGTTTAACCTTCCTTGATACTCGTCCGTATCTTCTTTCGATACTCGTCCGTATTGATTCAGACACTCATGTGTGTTATAATTTCCTTGTAATAACGTTGTTTTTATGTTACAAGTCGATCTCTTCCTTGTATTGGAATCACACTACATTAAAAGTTTGATCTCTTCCTTGTATTGGCATCACGCTACGTTACAAGTCCGATATCTTCCTTGTATTGGAATCATGTTATGTTACAAGTCCGATATCTTCCTTGTATTGGCATCATTCTATGTTACAAGTCCTATCTCTTCCTTGTATTGGCTTCATTCTACTTTACAAGTCATCTCTTTCTTGTATTGGCATCACGCTACGTTACAAGTACGATCTATTCCATGTATTGGCATCATGCTACTTTACAAGTCCTATCTATTCCTTGTATTGGCATCACGCTATGTTACAATTCTGATCTCTTCCTTGTATTGGCATCACTCTACGTTACAATTACGGTCTCTTCCTTATATTGGCACCACGCTACGTTACAAGTCTGATCTCTTCCTTGTATTGGCATCACGCTACGTTACAAGTCTGATCTCTTCCTTGTATTGGCATCATGTTATGTTACAAGTCCAATCTCTCCCTAGTATTGGCATCACGCTATGTTACAAGTCCAATCTCTTCCTTATATTGGCATCATGCTATGTTACAAGTACAATCTCTTCCTTGTATTGGCATCACTCCACGTTACAAGTATTTTATGTCCTTGTATTGGCTTCACGCCACGTTAAAAGTCTTTTTTGTCCTTGTATTAGCATCATGCTACCTTTCAACACTCGTCGTGTCATCTTCTAAACACTCGTCATGTCATCTTCTAAACACCCGTCATGTTAGATTCTAAATACTCATCGTGTCAGATTCAGACACTCGTCGTGTCAATTTCTAAACCCTCGTCATCATCAACTTCTAAACACTCGTCGTGTCAGTTTTCAAGTACTCTTCGTACCGGTTCTAAACCACGTTTTGGCACTATCGCCATGTTACAATAAATCACCTTCCATGTTCATCCATAAACCCTTCTCACCAAGGAAACAAGAAATTATTTCCCCAGCAGATAAAAAAATGATAAATAAACACTCACACTTTTTCTCAGAACAAATTTTTGGCATTGGTATTTAATCGTCTTCTACCTCGAACTTCCAAAAGACACACGGCAATCGTACTTTTAGGTTTAAGAAGATTAAATAGGGGTAGCTGTAATATCCCAAATTTGTCCTACCCTCCCATTTTTCATCTGGCTTATGCATTCTATTCTCATTTCATGTACATACCTCCCATCAGGTCATTTGACACATCATGTATCATCAATCAATAAATTTTTGGCGTGGGATCAGGGATTTCGAGGAATTAGTGTCATTGTATGGCTTTAAGGCTCTCATTTTCGCACAAGCTTGTTTTAATTTATTTATCCATGAATCATTTGTTTGAAGCCATGGTTTTATTTCATGAACCCCTTTATCACCAAGATACAAGGACATCTTCATCATGGGATTTTAAACCATCAACATTCATCTCAAAGAGCTTAAGGTTTTGTGATCACCATCATTCAGATGCTTCTAATTTCTCCTATCTACAAGGTTTTCCTTAAGACATTTGCTTCAAGATCATTAGTCATCGAAATGAGGTGCCTTTGCAAAGTGAATTGCAGGATTTAAATCATGGTACAAAGGTGATGTTGTGGATGCGTAATATGATCAAGGCATTGTTATTATTTGTGCTTCAATTATAAGAGGTGGATTTAAGAGGGAAATTAAGAGTTTTAGTAAGGAGACGAGATTGATTTGGTTTGGTTCTTATGGATTCGTTATTTAGAATCATTTGAGGTGCTACCTAATGTCATGGATTAAATTTGTTTGAAAGTTGTATAGTAAGAAGTGCATTTGGATTTCTTGAAGAACAAGTGAAGTTTTAAAAACATTAACAAAGTATGGTCATGATATTAAGCTAGATTCAATATTAAATTCAAGATGGTTATAGTCAAACAAGGTTTATTCAAAAGTCATCCACAATTCTCAAGGCAAGCTTGTAAAATAAAATAACTTTGTTCAATGTCCATCAAAGGTCTTTTAAAACAATTTCCTTCAGGTTTCCAAGGCATTACAAGGGCCATGATCATTCAAGAACATTCGAGGTTCATTTAAATTTCCACCGAATATTATAAAAAGAATACAAAATCAAGAGAAAGAATATGCAATTGTAGAAAAGGTTTGCGCTGAATATGTGAAGTTTTCTCATTGATTTCCAAAGTCACTATAAGGATATTGAATGCATAAAGGCCAACACAATAGAAAGGCTTTGTATCAAAAATAAAAAAATATTAAACATATTCCTAATGATCTTAGAATTCCAATTTGAGCTTCATCATCCTCCAAGCTTTAGGCTTTCTTCATGAACCAAAACTTGTCTACACCTCTCTTTGCCATCTTTAAGCCATGCCATACTCTTTACAAACTTTAATTTATGTCGTGCTTCATCCACCATTTGTCCATTGCAAACTTCCAATCAAAATTAGGCCTCCATGTTCAATACTTGATCACACTTCCTTCAGTCCTGCACATACTCAAATAAACCACAGATATAAATCAAACCAATAATTGATTTAATCTGTAATCATAACATCCCTAACAATCCAACAAACTTCCAGCAGAAAATAAATAACAGAACAGGAACAAATTCTAAACTGCCCACAACCTGTAACTAATTGTAACCAACCTTCCAAAACAGCCTCTTAATTGTCACAATAGAAATAATAAAATAGGATTTCGTAACCAATTTCTAACAGAATTTCAACAATTCTCTAACCTATAACTACCTTTCCGAATAACCTTCTAACCAATTTTTAACTACTTCCAACAAACTGTCCTAACAGAATTCTAGCTAAATCCCAAACCACTGCCTAACCAATTCCCTAATTGTTTATAACAGAAAACCTTATAACAACCTTTAACATAATCCAAAAAAATATAACTAACTAGCTGTAACTAATTCCTAACAAAAAAATTCCAGCTCAGTAACAGAATTCCAACTTCTAAAATTGCCCATAACATGAAAAAATCTCCCAGCCAATAACATATAGAAAATTCAACAGAAAAAGAGAACACCGAAAAACTCACCTCTCGGAACCGCATCAAGATCATTCATCATCATCCGTTCTTCAATTCTCCATCAACAACCATCATTTTTCTCTCAAAAAATGACAATAACAACTTTTCATCAGATTTTCCTCCAATCTCTCTGCAATCTTCCATCACCAGAACACCAGAAAATTCTTTTCTACAACCTACTTTCATTATCATTATGAATTCGCGATCCCAATCTCTGCAAAAACTTTAGAATCTATGACTTTTGTAATCGTCTTCATCTACCTCTCTTCAGTCTGTAGTTTCCTCAGCATCAACAATGCAAGGACTCAACAAACAATTAGCAACTTCAAGCACCTTCAATCTTCTGCATCTACAAGAAATGGCACCATCTTCATCATCTTTTTTCCGTCCTCCATAATTTAGCATCAGCATCTTTCATCATAACACTCACCGCATTTTCATAGATTTTCCGTCGAGGTTCAAGAATCTTCATCGATTCTTCATCATTATCAACGTTCTTCATCGAAACCGCACAACATCACAATATTCTGCATCAACATCACTGAAACGAGTCTTAAATCATCATCATCGATACATCGCACATGTTCAACAAAACACAGAATTGCAGAAGCAAAAATGGGAATCCGAGAATCACCGAAGCCGAAATTGAAGTAGCAGAGGAGAAGAAGTTAGTAGCATAAGAGTCATTACCTAGATATTTCTTGTCTCTGTCCAATTATGCCTTGCAAGGAGAATCAGAGGCTGAGAACCGCGGAGGCGCAAGGTGGTTTTGAAGACGCGAATCCAGTCGAGAAAACGGCAGAAGCTGCGTAAGGAACAAAGACAGCGCTGCGTCACTGATCGAAGAAGAAGGTGATAGTGAAGCAAAGGCGTCAGAATGGAGGGGAACAATGGAGTCTCATCGAAGATTTGAATAAGAAACTGGCCGCGGTGTCGTTTTTAGATGGGAGAAGAGAATTTTTGTTCGTGTGGAGCTGAAAGGTCACAACCATTCTCAACCCTAATCCTTTTCCTATTTTATAATTTGTTTTTTTATTCACTAAATGGGAATAATTGCATAAAAAATAAAAATGCTAAATTGGATTCTGGATCAGGCCTCAATTGTTGGGCCTTCTGTTTACACCCTTTTCCTGGTCCATGTACCACCTTGGTCATCTTTGAAATTCATTTAATCTTTAGATTTTATCAATTAATTTTTGACAATTTCTCTCATGATTTTTGGATGGAATTTTGTATGGACATTAATATGTTTATCACTGACTTGGTGATATTTTTACCATAATTTTTTATATTAGCTTTAGGAATTAATTGAATTAATGTTTGACACATGATTAGAATTAGGATTTTAACGCGTTTTTGTTGATTTCGTATCCTTGATTCAATTTCCTTGGCATGATGAGTGGTTTAACAGTAGGATCTGATCCATGAACAAAGCATTGTTTTTTTTACGCGTTTGTTCATTGTGCAAGGTACATTTTTATGCTTTCGATCATTTAACATAACAAGTATTATGTAATCAAAGCATACGACTTATGCTCGCTTCCGATGCGACACGCCTTATTTCTCATCGTCTTGAGAAATTCATATTATATTATATGTGGTCCTGGTACATGTGATATTTTATGAGCTTTGTGCAGGAACTTTTGATTATGCGTTGCATTCGTAACACGCGTTTGCTTTTATCTTATTTGGGTATTGTTTCTGACTTTGTTTGTTTCTTGGAGAAGCTTGCTCGACGTGTACTCCCTGCTTCTCCGTTGCTTTCGTCCTCTCTTAACGATTTGCTCGCTTTTGGTAGTCACCGCTACTACCTTCGTACTTCTTCGCACTTTACTACATTTCTTTATTGCTTTTCTAGATATCATGAGAAGTGGGGTTTTACTGCTTTCTGATGCCATGAGAAGTAGGGTAGATATGTATGACGGGGGTCTCCATTGTCGATCATGTTAGGAACCCCTCTAGTTTATTTAAAGACCCGTTTAGGGAAATTCTGCATTGTTTGGCATTGTGTGCTACCTGTGTGTGGTTTGTTTAAAGCCATGCCTTTGAGTAGGTATTCTGCAGGTGTGTATTTATATTTGTGCCCGTGCTATTCCCCATCCCTTATTGAAGTCCTCAAAAGGAGGCAAGTTGGAAGGGTTAGCAATCAACCCCCGCAATTTCGTCTGTGTCATCCTTAGCCCGTGACGCACCACGATGCTTCAGAGTTATGCTTGCTCTTGTGTATAGAGTCATCAAGTAGGGAAGGGTTCCGCAATTGAACCCCCATGCTTTGTCAAGAGTTTGCATTGGCTGATGTTGATACTCCATGATCATTCATATTTCATTATGTTGCCTACCTCGATCCCATATATCTTGGCTAGGTGTTAAGTCGCTTTGGACATCACTTTTTTATTTTACATCACTCTCGCTTGTTTGTCTCGGGTGATACACTCCCCTTGGCTAAAGAATTTATCTTCTTTTCCTTACCATTTTATGTGTGTGCTCTTTCAAGCTTTCTTGTTTTATCCTTGTATATACCATGTTTCCTTAGGATGCGCTTGCTTCGTTCGGATGCAAGTTAGACCTTAGGTAGCAAGCTTTGCATGCTAACATTATGTAGATGTTTCCCTTTTGTTAATCAAAACTTTAGGGCTACCATTGTATGATAACATTAGGTTAGAAATAAGCTTGTCTCCCTTAGACCATTTTCTTCCCCTTTTGCATATGCATCTAAAACTAAAACTTCCTTTCTTAGCAAATCAAAAAAATGCTAATCATACCTAAACCCTTTTTCAAGGTAATAAGACACAAATCAATCAAAGGTGGCATCTTGCCTCGAGGGCGTAACTTGAAATCCTTTTCAAGTAAGGACATGATTAATTTTCTACTGTGCCAACGTGTGAGTCTCCAAAGGTCGAGTTGGGGCAGAAGGAGGAATTAACATCGTTCGTAAAAAACACAAAACAAACAAAAAGATGTGAGCCGAACTATGGTAGCTCTGGTTCCTCAAAAAGGATATGTAGGCATTGGGGCAGGCCCAAGCGAGTACAACTTTATTTTACGTACATTATTTTCTCCTTTCTTTTGCATGCATTCTTCCTTAGTAGTAAACAGTAACCATAGATTAAACACACCCATAATATAGATAACAAGAGTGGATATTGTAGAGTACTACGAGCGTGTGGGGTGCTAATACCTTCCCCTCGCGTAACAGACTCCCTTACCCGATCTCTTATTCGCAAGACCGTGACTTCTCCCTTCTCAGGTTTTCTTGATGTTTACCTTTCCCTTCATATGGGATAAAATACGTTTGATGGCGACTTCATTATTTGATTATTTTCAGCCGGTTGTTTCAATCAGCATATTTTACAATGAATAATTCTTACAGTTCATGGAGATATGGAGAGCCATATTATGATTCCTTCCTTCATCGGGAGATTCATCATCACAGAAACTCAGGTTATTACAAGATGTAATATTCCCTACCACACTTATGAATTGGTCCAACGGCATATCACTTTCTACAAAATCTTGATCCAATACTCTCATCAAAGATTCCTTATGGGCAGAAGAGTTCATTAGTAAGGTCAGAATAGATATCTTTGATGGTGTCTGCAACCATTGATCTACGATCCTATAGTCTCTCATCTTGATAATCTTCAATATATAATCCACATATTTTTCCAGAGTAGCACCGCTATATTCCCCTACTTCTTTCTTAGGTTCATCACTTTCAATAATCTTCTTATCACCACTAACATTCCCTCGAATGACAGGTGCAAAAACATGACCACTGCGGGTTACTCGGCTGGCTTCAGAAATATTCTTGACATCAGACAAAGGTTGGATGGTAACTTCCATACCATCCTCCAAGATTGTAGCATTGTATTTATATGGTACGACTTTGTTTGATTCGTAAGGAACAGGACCCGGTAAGCAAATCACCACTGGAGCAACAACTGGCTTGCTACAGTACTCACTCTCTATAGGGACGGGAACACTGTAACAAGGCACAATAACATTCACCCCTTCTTCAGAATACTTGGACATCAAAAAATCATTGTTGGAGAACATATCTTCATATAAGGAAAAGAACTCATCTGCAGAAGCATACTCATCATCTGACACAGTCTCAGCCAATCAATCTTCAATCACATTAATCATCTCTATTTCCTAAAACTTTGATAGTACCATTATCCAATAACAATTGAATACCCCTTCTCACAATGGAATAACCATGAGAATCTATGCAGCAAATCTGGCAAGACCCATAATGGTGTTCTACTTGACCATCCATGTGACAGAAGATAGCGTGCAACTGCACCAAATTATCATTCATATGATTCACGTCAAAAATCTGGAATTCTCCAAGACATCCAAAGACCATGTTCACATCTTCCTCATACTCTACCCTAGGCCTGATTATATGAATGAGGCCTTCATCCATGATTTCCTGAAGATCAGCTTTTATCTTATCACCTCCCTGGATATCTGTACTGCAAATACCACAACCATCATGGTCATGTGTATAGTAACTAAACTCGCATAGGTCAGCATGCATCTTCACAAAATCCCCTCTAACCAGGTTAATATCAAAAATCCGAAAGTCCCCTGGATAACCAGCAACCATGATTACAGCATTTGCTCCTCCATGCTTTGACAAAGGATTATCTTTCGTTGGGGCCAACATCTTTACAGGATAAGAGGCCAGATCTCACCATCTTTTGTACTTCGGACTTCAAAGGATAACAATTCTCAATACTGTGTCCTGGTACTCCCTGATGAAACGCACACGTCTGGTCTGCCTTATAATACCAAGGCAAAGGTGATGGTGTAGCAAGGGGTGGCCTGGTCTGAACCAACTTCTTCTGACTCAAAGCCGGAAGTAACTTTGCATAGCTCATTAGAATAAAGTCAAAAGCCTCTCTCTTCTGACTTTGCCCATGATTCCGTTGAGGAGGTGGTCTTTGATAGGAAATAGTGGTTGGAGCTATATTGACGATATGAGTTACAGAAGCAACTTATTGCTGGTATCGTTGATGTCTTCTAGGTGGACTAATCTTTCTTTCCCCAATAACAACATTTGCATCACTTTATTTCTTTCGAGATAAACCGTACGGCGATTTCTTTGTCCCTTCATCTCTTGTCAAACTTCCCTCTCTAACAGCCTCTTCCAAACGAACACCCATGCTCACCATCTCGGTAAAATCACTCG